TTTATTGTGCCTGTGGTTAAAAAAGTTTTAAAGTTGTGTGTCAGTTAACCATCAGTTTATTGCTCCATCGCTATATAATCAGATAACCCAGCCGATCTTTATATAAACATATATTTAGACCGAAGATAAAATGTACAACGCTTTTTGGCGGCACGCTTTGTTTGTGCGAGGTCAGTCGTTTTCTATCAAAACTTTTGACAGCTCACGCAACGGCTGCCAGGTAATTGGAGAGGGGGCGGGAAACGATTTTCGGGGGCCTTCCGTGCAGGCGCTCCCTCTCCCCTCGCGTGTCTCCTTCTCGTGCGCCCGTTTATTCTTGTGCCCACTACTTCCAAGCGCCTGCTACGCAGGCTAACCACGGGTAAGGTTATCCAGCGTTTATTTAGCATTGACCCATGCACAAACTTACAAATATCTCGCTGCGAATGAAGAAGTAAACGAACCCAATGAAATTACTCTAAAATAAAACAATCAAATTGTTCAACGCCTCGTACTTGCATCGAGATGCCATGAACTCCTTTTAAACTCCCGACGTTTTCTACAAATGTCACAGCTACCGGAAGTCCTATTGCAAACCCCAAGGCAAAACGACTGAGGTAGGAGCGGACTGTTTGAAAACCCATTAACTCGCGCTAATCAAAGCCTGTACTTTCTCCTGAAACAAATCATGTGCACCATCGTGTCTTCGTGTCCGCCATGTTGAATGCATGTATGTGAGAACCCAGACCCTCACTGTTCTACGCGTCCAACAAGGCGTGTCGTGTCCAGTTGATAGCAAGAGAGGGGAAGCCGCGGATCATTATTGTTTGATGGTACGATATTGTCGCAGCTATGGAGGCTGACGGTGAAAAGGCAAAAGCAATTGGGTGTCCTCCGGAAATGGTAAGTTTGGTATGTGTGCCAGTGAAGTGTAAAATGACGTCTGAATATCTCCGATAATTGACATTAGCGAAGGAGTGTCCTTGGCAGATAACAAGTAGGAATCTGTTTTTCAAGGAACCTAAAAAGAAAATGAGGGGGAGCAAAGTTTTTTTGCGAAGAGTTCCGACAAAAAAAAAAAGATTGTGAGATCTGCTCATCTAGGGGGACTGTAGGGTGGTGGTGGTGAAGGGTGGTGGTGGGGAAGAGGTAAAAGGTTCAGATATTGAACATCCCGTTGTTTTCAAATTCTCAGCTCTGCGCTGGCATGCAGTTTAGTCAGTTTTTTTTTTTACATTGGCGACTGGAAACACATTAGTAACAGACTTCATTTCCTTCCCAGTGACGCTCATTCAAGTTAATTACTCGTGCTAGCTCAGCAGGTTCTGCTTATTTTCTGTCAGTTGATCAGTCACGACGTGTAATGTATGCGAATGACAGAGTTCCATTTCACATTTTCACATTTTGGGGAGCAAGGGTGGCGCAGTGGTGAGAGCGCTCGCCTCCCACCAATGTGGCCCGGGTTCAAACCCCGGTGTCGATATGTGGGTTGAGTTTGTTGTTGGTTCTCTGCTTTGCCGGGAGACGTTTTCCTCCGCGTACTCCGGTTTTCCCCTCTCCCCAAAAACCAACACTTCCAAATTCCAATTCGATCTGGAACGCACGGACACTGAAAAACGAGCTCTTGAGCTCTTAGGTGCTTCGTGGGTAAATAAATTACAATTACATTTTTACATTTCCCACCCACTACAGAGAGTCAAGGGAGCTTACAAACTTCAATCAGCACAAAACTATTTCTTTATTAATTATGTCAATTAACATCGTTATGATCAACAGCCATATTAGGTTTGCTTTGTAGGATACTCACATTGTTTCTTATCCGAACAGAACTATTTTGTAAGCGTGTTAGTCTAGTTTTATAATATCAGTTGCACGGCGGATCTAAAATTGTAACTTATAAGCAATAGATAACGGGGTCTCCTCGCCCGCATTAGTACTCGACATCCGGCCACAAGGAAGTCTGAAAAATTGGTGTGTCAAGAAACCAACCTCGTTCCGTACTCGTCTCCCGGTGCGAAAACATTATTAGACTCTCGAGTCCCAAACTCCTGTAGTCAGCTGAATTTAAGGGTGCGTTCGATTGGGAGATCTGAATTTTGGATTTGCAATTATGGGGTATGGGAGGGGAGGGGGGGAGGAGGAATCCGGAAAAGGGATTTGAAAAACCGTTCTCAACCAAAACAGCGGTTCCAAAGGCACATGCATAATTTGCAGACAAAAAGACCACTGTTCACAAGAACAGTTTTGCAAATCCATTGCCGAATTTCCCAATAAAACGGTAACTTAGATAAAATCCATTTAATTTCTTAATTGAAACATCCCCCATGAGGACGCGGATTTCTCGAAGCTGAAATCCGAGGTTAACTTTTTCGTCAATTTGTACGCACTACCGGTGACATTTTTTTTTTAACCACATCCTTTCCAAACGGTGTTTATTTTAATACCGAGAGAGATGGAAAACCACAGTTATTCAGCGAAGAATTTTTTTTCGAACTGCATACGCCATAGCGCGCAAAGATGACAACACTCACGTCCCTCCTTCACAATCTAGGCAGTAGTCAATAATAAATAAATAAATTATTTTCTTCATCTATCTCCGTTTTGGCTTCGTCGATAAGAGATTCGGTTACGAGATACCATGTAGTAATAGTGCATAATAACGGAGATAATAATATATAGATTTAGCCAAGCCTAAAAGCGGAGCATCCATTTAAGTATTAAAATTTCTCAAAAAATAAACTTTAAACGAACAACTTTTAACCAATTGCAAATAAATCCAGAGATTTACTCTTGTCTTTAGGAGGAAAAAGTTGGAAGATTTCAGAAAAAATTCATATTTACCCTAGACAGAACTCTTCTATCAAGCTAATACATCAATTAACAGCCAAAAAGTATAAATCAAACTTGATCACAGTAATTGGCTTGGAAAAGGTCTAGAATTCTTGCCCATTCACCATTTTCACATAGACCACAATGCATCTTGTCTACCCCCTCCCCACCCCCATGGTCTTTGATTTCTCTTGAGATGAGTGTAATACGTAAGAGAAATTGGAAACGATGGTTATGTTATATAAGGGGGAGAGGGGGATTCGGTTGAATAAGGCGAATTATGGTCTACATGAAAATGGTAAATACATTTGTGTCACCGAATGAAGAATTATGCGTAAACACACCTAGGCGGATTTCTGATAGCAGCTGTATTTCATTTTTTGGCGGCAGTGGAAGAATACGAAGAGTTAAAAACTTGAAATGACAAAATATTTTTCCTGTTCTCTGCTATATTAAAGAGCCTGCATGATCTTTCACAAGCGCAGCCATCAATGAAGAGATTCCATTGAGTCGCTTCCACCAAAAAACAGATTTTTAGATGCTGAATAAGTTTTTACATATAAATTCACCAGTCAAAATTTTGACCAATCTGAGACTAGATTGTTCCTGGAGCATGATCAAAAGTGTGACCAAGCCAGAAGTAAAGCCTTTAAGATTTATTCCCGCAATCAGGGGTCTGCCTGATTAAGTGTCACAAATTAGTCCAACCTTGAAAATCTTCTTTCCACCAAATCAGTTTCTCTTTTCGTATGAGGCTAGAAGTCATTTTTAATAGAAATGCTTAAGAACTTATTAAAATGAACATTTGTAAATACTTATCACCCGCCCTTGATGTAATGATAGATGCAAACGTAACACCGGTTTTAAAATTATAAGCAGTGCAAGTATGTCTGAGTCCCTAATCCTGATTCACGATTTAGATCAACCTAGACGGATGTTTCCTTAAAAAATGTGCAGTGCTGTCTTATCGAAAAAATGCTGCTTTTCTTTTCTACATGCGTGGATCACCACTGCAGTCTTGCAACAATTTGCGGTTTTGATGCACGCAACGTGGCGGTACTAGCTATGGTAATCAAAAGCCTAAAAAGCAGGGGCACCCAACGAGAATATAGTTCAAAACCACTTAAACATAGCATTGTTAAACGTATTTTAGTATTTAAACGGTAGATATAAGCATACTTTTATCCCCTAAAAATTTTTCATCTGTTCGGATTTCCTAGCTGAAAGGCTAGTGATCCGAAAATTATAGGGATCAAAAATGTCTCCCGAAAATTCTAGGTGACCTTTTTAGGGTAAAACTCTGTTAGAAATGGGCAATTATACCATTTTTTAGATGTTTGAAAAACCTAGGAGAGGTAGGCAAGCAAGAAGTTTTACAACAAATGTTCCGAAAATTCTAGATTTCAAATCGCCTTCCGAACAGATCTTTTCCTAAATGACGTTGGGTGCCCCCGAAAAAGTCTCTCACAGATTTAGAGGTTGTGACTCCTTTCCGCTGATGAATTATTCAGCTGACTTTTTCCTTTGCTTTGGGAAAAATCGAGCCTAAGAGGTGCCGTATTTTTTAGCTTCTAGGTTCTGCCATTTTTTTTTCAATGCTGGTTTCAGTGTCTGTTCTATATCTTTAGAATGAAGTGTAACATGAGATCCTGGTTCTATTGCAACATTGAATATTTTTAAATATTCATACTGGTTGTAGAGCCCTGTGGAAAATTTAAAAAGAAAATTCAATGGCCAAGATCCTTTAACAGTGGGCTGATCAACAGTCCATCCCATTCGTTTTCTTACAAAATCTGAACAGTTATAATGTAATGCAGTAAATTCAGCGTAATTGTTGTTAAGTAGGTAGCTTAGCAAATAAGTCTGAAACGTAGTTTTAAAGGAAAAACAGATGTAATGCAAAATATGAGTTGGAGTACTTTCTTCATACTCTGCAATCAATTGTCTCAGTAGCTTGTCGTTGTGGAACAGTCGTCCATACCGATCAAACACCTTTTTAATACAAGAAAAATGCTGAAATACTTCGTGGTGCCACATCCTCATCAAAGAGAACAAATACACTGGTGTTACCCTCCAGACCGTTCTGTACTGTGACTCATACGAGACATTAACACGAGCCATGGAGTTTGTTAATGCAGTTAACTTTTTCTGGTAAATTAAAATACGGTTTGCTTGTAACTGACACAATTTGAAGTCCGCCAGAGCTAACGAAACTAAAAACGCAAACTGGGGATGTTGATGGACCCTTCGGTTTAGCAGGTCTAGTTGTCGTAGCAACTCCTGCAAAATAGGCTCTAGCGATGAAAGACTGCCTAACTCCATACCGTTTTCTTTCAAGCTGCTCTGGAGGTCACACTGCGATGAAGTATACTGCTTGTTTTGAAAAGTAGACAAAAGTCCTGAAACAAACCCGCGGACATCGGGTCTTAAATTGAGTTCCAAGTCATTTGGAATCCAACCGAACAACCTCCTGTAAATGATATTCATTTCAACATCTTTGGGAGGAAACATTGTTTTACCTCCATGATTTCTAATTATGATTTCAACCTCTTTCCAAGGATTGAACTTAGCCCCACTAATCGGAAAGCTGAATACCTTCGCTAAGTAGAGTGGGGTGATTCCGTCTCTGGTGGGACAATTCACGTCCAGTTGATGCTGTTCCTTTTTTTTAAATATCTCTTGTATGAATTTAACCAGTCCCCGTGAGGCTGCCAAATGATAAAGAGTCAGGTCGGACTTGCTAGAGTCGCATACAATCTGGAAACCACGAGTATTCATCGCATGGTGAAGAAGCTCGAGAGCCACAAGAGATGCTTTATCCTTTCTGGCTAGTAATTCATCGTTTCCAAGAAGATGGTTCCAGACGTTTCCTCCTGAGTGCAGTATCGCAAGGGTAAGCGCGTCTTGTCCTTGTGGAGACAACAAGGTCAGGTTTGCACCGAATTTAATAAGGCCACGTACAGCTACCAAATTAGCTCCCTGTGCAGCTCTATGAAGGGGCGTAAATCCTTCAGAGTCCAAGCAATGATCTATGACTCTGTACTTCAAGTTATGATTTTCAACTGCCCTTTTTAAAGGGGGGTTTCTTGATGAACACGTTTGATCGTCGCAGGTAATGAGCTGAAAAAAATTGTTCTCTTCCATCCTTGGAGGAAAAAAACAGAACAAATGAAAGGCTGAGGAGATGAAGGGTTTTTTACACTCGATCTTGACTGAAGCATCTACGTGTTTAAAGGGCCATTCCGTCCAATCTCCACCGTTGTTTAAGAAAGCAGTAAGTGGTGTCCTTCCTTGATAATCCTTGCAATTAAGACTGGCTCCCTTCAGGAACAAAAGTTGAGCGATGTAAGGTTTGCTTTTTTTAATGGCATGGTGCAACAGGCTTGAAACATTACGCTTACATTTTTTGAAGGCTGCACCTGATGACAGAAGAAGATAGACGACCATTTCATGATCACGCAAATACTGATGCAGTTCACGGAAGCGTCCTCTAACAACAAATGGCGAAGTTTTTGACCCTGCCGTGCAGTTTTCCACTGCCACTTCCAATGGTGTTTTACCAAACTTGTCACGTAATTCAAGTTTTGGCTTTTTTTGCAGAAGAACATTGACGGCGTCAGCCAAACCGTTTGCTGCGGCTATATGAAGTGGCGTTCGGCCGTGTATATCGACGGCATCAATATCCGAACCACGTAGAATTAAACTAACAAATGCATTTAACCACTTGTAGTGGTCTGTGTTTTTAACGATATTGTTGTCTTCATAAAACCCGGCGAGATGGCCCCTACGGTCGATTGTCAATAGATGAAGGGTACCACCCAAATCTGTCCTATTTAAAATGATTTTCTGATCAAGTTGTTCCGAATCTATGTGAAGAATTGTATAATGCAATGCTGATAGTCCATCACTGTCAACTGCACTGAGAATTGCCCCAAAATATAGTAGAAAGTCAATAACGTCAGCAGCGCCACATGCTGCTGCGCTGTGAAGAGGTGTCGAACCATTAGAGCTTCTGCTGTTAATGTTGGTACCGATACCTGAACGCATCAGAAGATGTACAAAAGCATAGTGGTTATGACAAGCGGCCACATGAAGAGGGGTTGCTCCAAAGCAGTCAGAGGCGTTAACGCGTGCGCCACCAATTTTAATAAGATACATCCCGATTTCCCAGTGTCCATATCGGGCAGCTACGTGAAGAGGTGTGAATCCACAGTGACAGACATCACCGTGATATTCCAAAGACTCTTCCAAACTTAATATCAAAGATGTATGCGTTTCATTTTGCTGTTCCACGCTCTGCCAGTGATTGCAAGTTTCATGTATCAAAGCGTGTTCTCTCTTGAGTATTTCTTTCACAATTTCACTATTATTTTTACGAACAGCCTCGTGTAAGGCAGTTCTTCCTGTATAATCACGACACGTTAATGCTGTTGGTGGCGAAGAAATTAGTTCCTTGACTACCTCCACATGGCCCGCTGAAACTGCTGCATGAAGGGCAGTTTCGCAAAATATTAAATGTTTGTCGTCATAAAGCTCGCCAAAGTTGATGGTGTTTCCTGGTTTCTCTTCAATGCAATGTTCCTTTTCTATCTGCATTTTACTCTCAAAACACTGTTTGTTTATACTAAGTATTATATCTTCCGTCTTAACATTGCTTTGTAAACGGTGTTTCCTTGTTTCCAGCCAGTAAAAGGTCCCATCGCATCTTATGCACCTGTCCCTCACACCGATTTTTAAAAGGTACTTTACCACTTCTAACCTACCATTAGCGGCGGCATGGTGGAGAGAAGTTTGGTCTGCAGCTGCACCGGCATTATATAACGCTTTAACAACCTCTAAATGTCCATTCTCAGCGGCTATCTGTAATGCAGTTAAATTGACACCATCGACAGTTGAAATAAAAGCACCGTTGTCAAGTAGAAACACAACGACCTCCAAGTGCCCTCGGTGAGCTGCAGCGTGAAGCATTGTAGACCCCCAGTACTTTGACTTTGATTGAAGAACTGGAGTCCAAGGATAATGTTTACTGACAAATTCATCATACTTGTTTCCTTTCGATTCCAGAATGAATAACAAAGACTTCGTTTTGCGATTTATCTTGGCTCCCTTGCTCACCATCAACGCCAGATTATTAACGAGTCCATGCTCCGCGGCCAAAAATGCAGGTGTTATCCCGCTATTATCAATGCAGTCAATGCAACTGAAATGACTCAGCAGTAGCTCCAGTACGTCTGTGCTGTTTATAGTGGCTGCAAGGTGCAACAAAGTTCTATTACTTGTAGGATCCGAAGAATTGACAACTTGTGAAGGAAACTTCAAAAACTGTTTGACATACGACTCCTTCCAACCACCATAGGTAATGTGTTGTGCCAGAGTTAGAATGTATTTGAACAACGAGGACTTATCTCCGTCAGCAATTAAGATTAAGTAGTAGTCGCAAAACATTTCATGTCCTTTTTTCTTACTGACATAAAATGGACTATTCTTGTTTCTATCACTGGTGAGCCATTCTGTTAAGGAGAGGTGGTATAATGTCACCGTGTCATTTTTTCCGTATCTTAGAAAATGTCCCAATCCATTAATTCTATCTTTAAATTCGTATTCTTCTTCGAGATTCTCTTCCTTTGTTTTAAGAACTTCATAAATGCCTTTAAGTGACATTGGATGAAATGTTGCCACAAGTAATTCTAGCACTCGCCGAATCGGCCGGAATTGTTCCTTCTGACTATACAGGCGTTCGAAGTAGCTGTGGTATAAATCTTCAAGCGTTTCAGGTAGTGCATAGGGATCTCTCTTTTCAGCTCTGGAAGTTTCCCAGTGATGAAGCATCTCCTTGACGAACAAGAAATTTCCCTGACTTTTGCTCAACAAAGCAGAAATCAGTCTGGCTGTGTTTTTAATGCTATCATCTCCAAACCAAAACTTAATTTGATTTATTAAGGGACCATCTTGAAGAAGTCTCGTGGACAGAAACAGCTCAATGTCCTCTATATTTCGGATATCGTCAGGATCAATGATGAACTTCATTACGCTGTTCGAGTTGATGGAAACGCTAGATTCATTACGAGAGGTCATCACAAGTTTCACCCATGATGGAAAACGGGGAAGCTTGTTATTAAGCAAATAAACGATACTATGGCCTGTTTCACTTTGAGTAAGACATTCATCTAAGGCATCAATGACAATATACCAGTTCTCTTTCGGTTTATTCTTTAAAAGTCTTAGGGGTGACAAAATAGCTTGCTCAAAACAGCCGACAGGATCTTGGAGTGTCACGCAGTCACTGTCTAAAGATCGCTGAATGTAGGAATTGTTGGTGACAATGTACCCATATTCTGGAAGTCTTCGAGCTATCATATCAGCTAAGTTACGAACAAATTTGCCTCCATTCTGTGTATTTCTGTCAGAATGTTTACAGAGGTGGTACCCTAATAAATGATCGTGAATGGTCCTACTTGACGTGCTGGAGCAGACCAACTGTGCAGTCAATGCCGACTTTCCAGCTCCAGGGTCTCCCATAATCAAAACACCAGACACACCCTGGCGTGATGGGTGGAAGGCATTCACTATCTCTTGATATAGCCATCGACGACCGATGAAATTTTCCCGGGCAATAGTAAGGTAATCAGTAAAATTATACTCCTTGGTGTCAAAGGGAACACTAACATCTTCTGTGGGGCATCCTGTAAAATAACATTATTTTTTAATCTACAAACTGACCTCGAGCAATTTGAAACAAGGAATTGTTATGAGAACCGAAAGACTGGGTAAATAGGTTTTCGTGGTAGTGATCGTAAACGGACCAGAATCGGGTTACCTGTGTTAGACTGGTTAACTAGGTGAAACCTGTATAAAAATACATGATTATAAGTAGAACATACCATCTTTAAAGGACCTGTGATCCAGAACGCCGATGCAGCAACACAGGAGCAACAACTTTATCCAAGCAATGAATGAGTTTCTTTGCATTTTCCCCACATTCCTAATTGACATGCCGACGAAGGCTACTGGTAGGACCAGAATTTGGGAAAGACTTGACAAAGATGTCGAAGATTTTTCCTCTGACGTCTTTCGGGCCGATGTTGGAATCTTTTTTTCCAAGTTTTTGAGGGCTTGATTAAAATTGCGAATTTGTTTTTCCAGACGGGCTCGTTGTTTTTCATTTTTCTTAGATTCCTTTCTCGGTAACGATTTTAATTTTCTTTTAAGGCCAGAGATATCTTTGCGAATTGCCTCCTCGAAATGAGATAGGTCCTTGACTTTGAAGATGTGTACATCTGAAGTGCACTTTAGAGCTAAAATATCTCTTAAAGCGTCCTGAGCATGAGGATCTCCAGCGAATACTGGATCTTGCAGAAACCTCTCAATTGCTTCAAAGGCAGCACGTTTTTCTGCTTCGGACAACTCCGACTTTAGGACGTGGCCCCATTTCGTGTTCCGGGTTTGTCGGACACTTTCAATTAGTGGTCGCTCAACAGTAAAATGATTGCACCAGTACAAAAGATTCAGAATTCCAGAGATGTCAAGGTCTTCGGCGCTCTCTATAACGGTATGTCCTCCAGCATCTGGGCGAAAAAGTTTAGCTATCTCCCACTGACCGTTCTCAGGGTCCATCCATTTGCTGGAATCACTTTGCTTCCAGTTCGGCTTGTTACCAAAGTGAACCCCTTCTAGAATTTGTGCCCAAGCACACGTGCTCATATCGTGGTATTGGTTCTTTTTTCTACCCGGATCATTGACACAGGTGCAAGGTCCACCACCTTGTGCCGTCACTGCGGCTGTTACATTGCTATAGAAAAGATCCATCTCTCGTTGAATATAGGGACGAAGACCTCGACAAAGAACTGACGTCAAAGCGCGTCCGAGGGAAAGCCAATTTCCTTCTTCTGAGGAGCTTAGTTGAACAAAAAGCTGGGACGGTCCTGAGGTTGCCATTGTAAAGTAGAACACTGGTGAATTAACAAAAGAAATATTGCCCATGAAAGGGAGTCCAAGACAGTCTAGGATTCTGGATTCCACACCGTGGACTCCGGATTCCAATCGTTAGAGGGATTCCTGATTCCTTGAGCTATATTCGGGATTCCAAGGCCAAGGATTCCGGATTCCATAAGCAAAATTTTCCTGGATTTCGGATTCCACAAGTAAATATTTCCCAGATTCCGGAATATGGATTCCCTTTCATGGGGCGAGAAAGAGGTACACCTGTAAAGGCTGCATAATTGAATATGATCAGAGAATGCTTTTAAGGGCTTATAAATGACCTAAAAAGCTTGAAAGATAAACTAATGTAATTAAATACATACAAACTGCACCAACCCATTCTCTCTAATAACAAACTATTATGGGCGGAGATCCTTAAAATTAAGAGTACATTTAAGGGGTAAACTTAAGTCAGGCGATGTACAGACAAAGGAAAGAATTTTGGATGCCCCTTGTGGCGGAAAATTTCATTATTACGAAGACGCTCAACTGGAGCAAATAAATATTTAAATGAAATAGTCCTGCACCCTTCAGTGCGTTTCGGCCTTGCTTTTGATACGTATGGTTGCATAAGAAAAACTCTGAGGGGAAAGAATGCCAGCTGAATGTTTCATCTACAGAGGTGAATTTAATTTGTTGTGACGAATGAGTTATAAATCTGGAGACAAAAAGTGTCTTAATTTGAAATATCTGGGGGATTGCGGGGCGTGGGGGCGGGGGGTGGGAGTTAATAAAAAACATCTCATCGATCGACTAAAATTCAACCACCTTTCCGCAACACTGTGACTTATAATACCGCAATTGTTTCTGTCTCGATATCTGCAGTATCCCTTGTCTGGTGTAAATACTTTTTTGAGCATTCATCTACTATTCAAAACGTTTACTAAAAATGAAATGAATTCTTCGAATAAAGGAATGACTCATTCATACGCCGTGTTCATTCTACCGAAAACTGAATGAATATAACAAGTCTATGTTATTATATTTAGGACTTTGCATTCCTCAAGGTTTTTTTGGCTAGAAATTAACACTGATAAGTTAATCATTCTTGTTATGGTGTATCTTGCTATAGTGGTTGGTGTTCATAGCCACTTCATCAATGTTAAATAAAAACATATCAAATAACCTGTCTCATTCCCGGTCTCATGACTTTAGACGAATGTCCTTCTGAGCGGAGAAATTGCCGGCCGCTGCAGATCCTCGGCCAATTAATGATGAAAACCTCAACTAAACTAAGGATAAACTTGTGATAATAAAAACATCTCCTTCGAAAGGATTTGAAGCTTTTCTTGACTGAGAAGGGCAAGCTGGATGTTTGTCTGGGCTGCTTGAATCTCAGTGCTTTAAAATAAATATCAGTATAAATCGTCGGTGAATCGGCCTCGGCTAAAATAACTCGGCTATCTGCAAAAATTTCAGACCATCACCGAGCTATCTGCCAATTCAACGGCTTTGGATCTCAGATCTCAGTTTAAATCCCTTGGCATTTCTCCACTGACTGTTCATATGGAGTTAAACTCCATACAGAAAAACAATAGACTGCGCTCCTAACAGCGGCATCATATATCATCAAAACAGCGAGAAACTTGCATACGAAGCCGTCCTTTTAAAAGACCGTGAAAGGGGCTATTTCCAATGATCTAGTTTTGCGGCTTCTAAAACGAACACGTTTTGACACCTGTGCACTTACCTCAGCTTGCAACAACCGCAGCATGTAACTTCGATATATCAGGGCTAAATACGATGCGATATGAAAAGAAAGCTGAAGACGGAAGCGAAAATGCAAATTAGCTACTCACTAGGCACCAGTCCTTCGAAACCCAAGCGTATTGCATGAGAATTTGTACAGGAAATAAAACTTACATCAAACATGAACTAAAAGGGGGAAACGTTTTTACACTGTCAGGTCGGATGATGTTCTGCTGCTCAATTCGCGCTGAAAATTAGTAGAAAGAAAGACAAAGACACCATTGTTTATTCTTAATTGATAACGCATTACTTACATACTTGTATTTCGTGTAAGTTATATACTCTTTATTTCTCATATTACGCCTATTGACCTGCGGTTACGGAGGTATTAAGGGTCGGCTAATAACAGGACGTGACACAGCCCATATCGATCGGGACTTGAAAGTGAGCTGATTAGCACTGTGTAGTGTATGTTCGGCAATGAATTATTCCAGGTTTATTAAAATATCCGTCATCTTCGTGGCGAGGCTCATTTATGGGGGATTACTAAATGCATGCTGTGAGGAAGGAGGAAGGAAACTGATTATGTTTATTTATTTATTGATTGATTGATTGATTGATTGATTGATTGATTCGTTCATTTATTCATTTATTAATTTATACACGGGAAATCATCAGTTTAAAAAGTACATACTAGATAAAGATAAAACTACTAAATCTAACAGATTTATGTGATTACCGTTGTGAATGGGAGCCTAAGTAAGAATGGTAACTTTTTAAGCTTATTTTTAGAACTTGAAAGGGAGTTATATTCCCTTAGATCCTGAGGCACACAGAGAATTCAACAAGGCGGTGCCGCTATAGGTAGCTTGTGTACAAACGCCCCCTGCTCTCTGAGGGGAGGGGGGTTTCTGCACACAGGCTAGGCTATAGGAAAAGCTACTCTTCAGGTGCTCTTTCCTTGGCTTATGCAATACAAGTTTGTGAACTTAGTTTCTTAGATTACGACAAGGACAATAAGCACTAAACTTGCAAAACATTTGGGGGAGATACACCAGAGCAACATTACGTAAAGGCTAAAAAAACAAAGATGGCCTTGTGCTTTTGTCTGTTGGGGATGAAGTTTTCCACCCTAATGCGTCTAGAAGTGAAGAGGAACTAACTTCACAACTCGATTTTGTTATGACCCAGGCGGCACGACGTTGAAGCTTCTGAAGTTTCTTAGTTAATTGATTACCTTAAGCTCTAGCTCTTAGCCCGTGTGAAGACTTCCTCCATTTTTATTTATAGGGTTGAATGGGATGGGACCTAGCAACTTTGGCCACCCTTCTATAATAATAGCAACCCCATTTAAATCCCATATCTTTCTTAAAGCCAGGGCACTGGGTTTGAATTTACTCCAACTACAAGGAAATTAAGTATATGTATCACCTTCCAGTATTAGAGCTGGTGTTGAAACCGACTTCCCCCCCCCCCTCTCCCGCCTCCCGCATTACACAATTTATGCTATTTCTCTCCCGCCCTCTCACCCCAACATTTTACGGACCTCTCTCCCTCGAACTTCGCGAGGTGCTGCGATCATGTATGTCCCCGCAGTTCTAGTTCACTGGAGACCAGGGGCCCCTTTCTCGAAAGCCCCGGTAACGTTTCTAGCCTGAATTTCATCCGATGACTTCTTTACTAAGGGAGTAATAACGACTCGAAGTAATCGGGTGAAATTCAGGCTAGAAACGTTTCGGGCCCGAAATCAAATTTTCAAGAGCGCGGGTTCTGGCTACTCCATTCTGTTTCATTAACTGATAGTTTAATCATGTTAGATGCAAAACTATTGAAACCTCTACCTTGCATGTGAACAACAACAGCTTTACGGGCCCGAACGGGCCTTAGAGCGGGCCCGTTAATTGCAACGGGCCCCAGACTCCCTCATCGATCCGAAGTGATGAGAACCCAGACCCTCACGTTGCAACGCGTCCAACATGGCGTATGGCGTTAAGTTGATACATTGAGAGGTACTCGGTACGGAGCCCAGGGTTTTGTTTGATGGTATAATCGCGTTGCAGCCATGGAGGCCGACGGTGAAAAGGCAAAAGTAGTTGGGTGTCCCTCGGAAACGGTAAGTTTGGTATGAATACCAGTAAAGTATAAAAACGTATGAATGCAACTTCGATCATCTGATCAATCAGAATATGAATTGAACGTTCCAATGCAGGACGTTCAATCTTTATTAGGATTTCCCCTATGGATGGGTAGCCTCGGCAGATAACAAGTAGGAAGCCATTTTTAAAGGCACCGAAAGAAAATTGAGGACTAGAAAGTTTTTTTTGAAAGGGTTCGGGTAAGTTGGCACGATCTGCTCATCCGGGGGACTGCAGGGTGTGGTGGGGCGGGCGTCGGATATGGAACGTCCCATTGTTTGCAAGCCCTCAGTTCTGTGCGGGTGTGAAGTTTAGTTAATTCCTTAGGCTAGCCGCCAGTTTTTCTGTCGGCCAACAGTCGCAATGTACATTATTCCCTTTGATTTGGGTTGTCACGGGAACTATGTGGCCTGCTGGTAGCAGAACAAAAGGGAGACAGAATTTCTTTATACAGTTCCTACAGGGTCATGAAGGGTATTTTTGGATTCGGGGATTAGACCAAAGTACATGTACGGTGTGGGACTCAGGAAAACGCAATATATTTTAATGGGAAACGGGATTTTACAGCAACTTAAGAAGCGGGATTCGCCAAAATTTAAGCACAGGATGCGGGACATTTTTGCCTGTATGTTGGGAATTTCAGAAATCATACATTTGAGGGGGCAAATGCAAATGAACCAGGGGCGCATTAAGTGTTGTCTCCTTACCAACTTAACTGTGGAGTGTGCCTTGTTAATTAATTTTTGTTAAATTGTTGTTTTTGTTTTTGTAAATAAAAGAGGATCTCATGACTTCAAGCAATGGAAAAAAAATAGCGGGATACGTACAGGATTTTTCTAAAAAGAGGAGTGGGAAAGTGGGATCAGCATCCCTCCTTCCAGATCCTGTTCCTATACCCTCTAACAAAAATTAATGATCAAAGGGAGAATACAAACTTGATTTGTCCAGCACACCAGTGTTGACTTTCTTTCTATGTACATCTCATACTTTTTTTTCAGTCCCTTGCAGGGAAAGCAAGCATTTGTCAAGGATGTCCAGGGCAATATCTTTGTAGTCAGCAAGGTGAAAAGTTAATGATGTATACACTGTAGTTAATTGCTAACAATGAGTACATGACTGTGCAGTGTATTT